GCAGCATCCCTACAAAGATCTGAGTGTTCCCACATACTTTAAAGCTACTGACAAAAGAGTTCTGACAAAATCCATGTTGAAAAACAAGTAGTCTAAAAGATAATTTGTATTTCACTGGAAAAACAAAACCAGAATGGGTTACTTTAGGAAATTACTAATTTGAAAATTACGAAATTCTGACCAAATCAACACTGAAAAATAAGTGGTCTAAAAGATAAATTCATTGTAAGAAAGAAAAAAGGTTATCTAAGGAAATTACTGGTTTGGAACAATTCCACTGAATTTAATCAAGTAAGAGTGAAGTAGCTTTCAGGATTGTGAATCCAGTTGCAACAGGAACCACAGCAGGGTTGTCCCATGTCATAGAAACCGCATGGTAGGGCAAGATGTGTTGTATTGTGAAGGAAAAAAATAAGACTGCAACTTAGATCAGCATACTTGTAATTATTCTACATCCATATGAAACACGTAAGCAACTAAGCCCTCATGATTAAAATGCCGCACCACAACCGGCAACCTTAGCGGAGAACTCTAAAACTGGTATATATATTTATTCTCTACTATGACACTGTGTGAAAAGCCCTTTTAAATAGCCATTGTTCTTAAATGATCTGTACGCCTTAAATCAGATACCTTTTACAAGGCTGCAAAAATGCAAATTACACCGCCCCAAATTCTTGGGGATGTACTTTATTGTTTTTTTGGACTCATAGACAGATCTGTTCAGGATCTAAACATCTGTGGGGTAGATCATGAAAAGCCAAGAAAGAAAAGTCCCACGCAGTGCCTTACCACCAGCACCTGCAACCACTCTGTAGAACAAGGCTGGTGGGGTTGCTGTGGACCACAGGAAAGGTGGTGCCTGACAGCAGGGCTCAGCACCCTCTGCCACTTCTCCTACGGCATGGGGCATTCATTTGGGTTTCCCTGCTGTTGCCCAGGAACCTAATTGCATGGAAACTTAAACTCTATCAAACCTTGGCTAACATTCAAATGCCATTAGCAGAAAATGATAAGCAGACATCATGAGTAGAGAAGCCTCAATTTATTAGGAAATAATTCTTTAATAAGGGCTGTACATAAAACCCTTTTTTTTCCAGTGCCATATTAAAATAAAAAAAAAAAAACTGCCCTAAAGGAACATCAAGCTGCCTATCACTCTTTTCACTGACAACTTATTTCTAAAGTCCTCCTCCGAGTGTAATATCACCCTAAAAGTCCAGCCTGCCCTACTATATAAAGCGTGTCTGTCCCACACTCACAAACCATTTCCAGGGGCTAAGAGAGAACCAACTTCTCCACGCCCATCAAGAAATACCCCTGCATGAGCCTGACAGGAGGCTCTGCCTGAACTCCCCCTCCCCTCCCACGCTTTGGGGCAGGGGGAAGCTTTACAGCAGTCCTCGAGAAGCATGATGGCCACAGCCAGGCTCTGGCTCCATGAGAATGAGTTATCCTTACTGGGAGCTATTTGCTGCTGTTAAGGCAGGATTTTGGACAACCTCATTCTGTTTTTCCCTTTTTCCTCTGAGACTGGTGCCTGTATTATTCATCAAAGACCACACTACCTCAGAGCTTCTAACTTTTGATTGTGCTGTTCAGCCCACAAATTACTGTCAAGGATACAGTTTGATACGCAGAGCTAGAACTTGCATCTGGTCACTGTTCCTCTGTGCTGTCTTACCCCTATTTAATCAGCTTTGACCCAAATAGTAAAAAGCTGCCAAGTGAGGTGCCTTCCTGCCTGGATGTCAGGGATATTAGTTTGATAGTGGGGTGGGAATGGGATCCCTTCATTTGTGTTATATGCTAGCAGTCTTCTGCAAAAGGGATGCAGAAAAATAGGGCTCATCTTAAATCACTGGGCTACACTGCATAAAGTCAGAAATGCTTTCTGGATAATTAAAGAATTAAACTACAATCACTTGAATATCAGTGACCAGTAGAGACCAAAATGGACAACAATTACCAAACAATATCTCAAATGCTTATTATTCCACAAAATCAAATAGAAGAATAGAGAATTGTAGGAATCTAATTCTTTACAGAGCTGTGCATGTGCTGAACTTTACTCACAAGAATAGTATCACTGATGTGAATGGGACTGCGTGGTTAAGTACACACACAGGTCTTCCCAAATTCCATATGTCAGGCACATTCCTTAGGGCATTACTACTGAATACTGACTTCTAAGTGACAGTCATTGCACAACTTTTTAATAAATGAAATATCTAGTTATAGAACCTGACATTTCAAAAATCAGAAAGCAGATGAGACAGTTACTAAATCAGTAAGTTTCCAACAGGTAGAATGAAAAATGTAAGTACTTTTTTTCCCCTCTATTTAATTATTTAAGTGTATAAATATTTGGCATTTTATCTGTCTGAGAAAGAGCAAAGATTCAGCTTGGCTCAAATGTTATCCAGACAAATCTGACTAGCCCCAAGAAATTACTCATCAGAACGTGGGAGATGCAGATGAGTGGCAGACCACTTATCATGAGAAGAATTAACCCAAGCAGGTGAACTTGTACTCTTGGGGTCTCACGTACTTTTGCACCTCTCACATTTATCACTGGACACACTTTGCAATTCATGAGTAGAGATGCTCACTCTGATGTGTCAGCGAGAAAATAGCCTGGTGAAAAGCCAGAATATGCTTGTCTTTCTATGAAACTGGCATAAAGAGAAATAAATTCCACAGCTTATCTTGGCACAAGCGCCATGAGCTTTACTGGCAAGAAATTCCTACCAGTGAATTGCAGCCTCAGTCTCATACATCTAATCTACTGGGAGTCTGGCACGGCATGAGGATGGTTCCTATCCAAGTCCAACAGCAACTCCATATTTTCTCCCAGAATGTTTGGGAAGAGACATAATCATCTAAATACTACTCATCCTGCTGTGTTCTCATTTCCCTATAGTCAACACACATCTTAGGTTTAAAATTAGTCAGTGTGCTGTAGATGTTTTTGAACCACTAGATCTGACCCTATATTATCCAGAAAACAAAAGAAGAAAAAAGTAATGCCATGTGTTTCCAAAGTCTGTCGGCTGCATTATAGCTTCAGCTCAGTAATTACAAAGATTGATGTTCCATTCTGCCCCAAATCCAGAGTTCATTGTCCATTCTACTTACACCGCTTTGACTTACAGTTCTCTGCATCCATTATCTTTAATAATAAAGAGCTGACTAAAGTTAATGATTGAAGAGCAAGATGTGATTAGCAATATCAATCTAATATATGAGAAAACAAACTGGAGTGTGATTTTCATGTTTCATTAGAATTATCTTAAATGTACTCCTTAATGCTAATTGATCTCACAGAGGTGAGAAAATATTCTGTTCCAAATTAATGGGAAAGAATCATTCATCTTCTTTCTGGAGGGAACATTTAATATCATTCACTATTTAGAGGGAGATAGCATCTTCACCGTGATATCAACACTTAAAGTGATGCTTCAATGTAGGCATGTATCTGAAATCTGCAAGATTTTCCACTATATAGGGAAAAAATTCAACAGAATAAAATACAAAACAAAATGCCATATACAATGTTTTCTTTTCAGAAGGGGTCTTCCCTATCTTGGCAAAATTATCCAAAGCTGAAAAACAGTGTTGTTGAATGAAGATTGAGCAGGCTTTTTCCATATGTTTATAGAAGAAAAACTCTTTCATAATCTGTTAATTTGCTATGAACAGGAGATTACTGAGACATTTGCAAGATAAAGTTCCTTGAAGGATTTATTGAAAACAAAACAAAGCAAAAATCTAATTTTCAACTGAGTTTTTCACTTTTGTTTGTATGTCAATATTTTTTTTTTCTTTTTGAATTATTCATATTTGGATATCAAATATTCTTACAAACCAATGCATTTAAGAATAATGAGTCCTGACTGTCTTCATTTTAACTTCTTGTGCTTTATGCCCAGGATTATTATTAAATGACCTTCTGTTCAGTCTGTTTCTAGGATCCATAAATAGAAATTGCCTAATGAGCATCTCAAATATTCCACTGTCATTTTCATGTCAGTGTTTCTTATGCCATGTTTGTATAGCTCTGATGACAATACCTATTAATGCACAGCAATAGCTCTTTGCCTCCTTCCTCTCAAATCCCTTCCGTTAATACAACCTTCTCTGTTCTGGGCTGGAATCTTGTCTATTTACACAGTTTGAGAAATGCAAATTGACCGTAATGGCAACTGAAGTAGCAGCTTGAGATTTCAAGAGTTGCTCTATGAGAAATACCACAACAGCAGCAATAATTATTGAATTTTCTGATGAAAGAGAAAAAAATTCCTCTTGCCTTGTTCTTGTATTCTACTTGAACAGGGTTTACATACTTGGTCTGCAAAGCAGCAGAGACAAATACACTTTCCAGTGCACTAAATCCATTTATAACTATACCAAGGAACAGAGGTATAGAAGAATAAAGGAAGAGATGCAGAATTTCTGACACTACCTACAGTGATATATTATGGAGAAAGTAATACATATTCCACGAGAAATCAGCAGTGAGTTCATGGGGGTGGGAGGTTGCCTTCTAGAGGAAGAATATTAGACTTCTATGCAGCTTGTGTTTCTCCTGTGGCATTTTCCCCCCTTTCCTTTGCACATGCCAGCACTTACAAAAGAAGCCCAACAAAACTGACCTTCAGCTGCTCTATCTATTGAACTGATACAGCAGAGAGTACAGTCTTCCAGACCCGGGCCATCAGTTGCTAAAACCGCAACCACCTAATTAAGTCTACCTGTTTATATAGTGACCTTGGTGCACGTCCATTTGTTGCGCTGTGAGGACTCAGTCATTTCAGATGACAATGAAATGTCATATGGTGGTATTTTTGGTCAGAAGATAGTAGCTATGTTAGTGAATATTCTATTGCCACATCACCCTTACTTTCTATTTTGATTTTACACTGGCTTTAACTTTTCTCACACTGTACATACCATCACTCTGCCTGAATTCAAGAGAGACCAAGAAAAAGACTGCTTACCATTCTGGCATCCCAGAGAGATAAAGTCTTGTCAGCAGAGCTAGTGAGAACGGTGTTGGAGAACGGAAGAAACTCAATGCTATTGACTGAATCTTTATGGCCACACATTGTGTATCTGCATCTCTCACTGCAAAAGAAAAGCACAGAAATACAGCACTTTCCATCCAGGATAGTAAGAACAAGAGACAAGTTTAGGTAAATTAGTAATGCATTTCATGTATCTCTCCTAGCTACTCTTTAGAAAAAATGACCATTGACAGCTATTCATCACCCAAACGCTACACCACAGAGGGAAAAAAAACACATCAGCTAGTGTTTGCTTCCCAGTAATGAAGGCTATAACAGGAAGGTAAATAGAAATGGAGAAACAGGTTTTAAAAAACTGAATTGTAAGGAGCAACAATAAAAGCATTACTTCATGTTTCCTGGGTGCATCCTCAAAAACCTTGCTGATGCAGAATTTAAAAGGAACATGAATGAAAAGGTGATAGGGACAGCTCCATTTGCTTTTTAAAGGTATTTTATTCCTTCTTGGTAACAAGGGGTCTAAAAAAAAAATCTATAGCACCATGCCAATGTGCACCTTGAAGAAAGCTAGAGGGTGCTGGCAGCCTGACTTTCTTCTCAAGGTCTGCAGAAAGACTTATAGAAATTAAGTGATGTCTGAGACCTCTTCACCGATGGTAAAGTCTTGACACTGTTGGTCACCCAAGAGGCCTTCTCCCTGAAGAAGAGGTCTCTTACTATGGATGAGCCCCACCAGTAGCTATTATGAACTGTAAGTTCTTAAAGCAGACGTTAGAAACAGAGGTGAACCCCAAGCATTGAGGTCTTCACCATGAACTGACCACAGCTCAGATGGAAGCACTATGTAACATGGTTCTGGAAGTTCTTTCAAGGCTCAAGACTTCCATCTATCCCATCTTCTCCCAGCTGATCAGCTATGAAGTAATAACCTAGAGGTTTCTGGTTTGCTTTCTGATCTTTTTGTTTTGTTTTCTTACCTTTTAATGAGTTGATTTCTGAGACAACACTACTGTTCCTTCTCAGTTCAGGGTATGAACATGATATAGATGGAACACAAGACAGGGAGCTTTTCCCATTGTAAGGAATAGAAGCACAACCACTATGACACGGCTGTAGAGAATCCGTTCTCTCACAAAACAGCCTGAAGTTGGCTACATAGCTGTGACCTTATTAAAGCTTTTTGGCTTCTGTTTTGTTTTCTGTGTGCACACCAGAGGAGAACATTCCTTAAACTGGAGTCCAGGAGAAGAGAAGGAAGAGCCCAAGGATGACTCACCAGGACCACACAAAAGGTGACAAACAAATCTGGGATTATTCAAATTGAACAGAACAGTAAAGGCTTAACTCCCATACAAGCATGTCAAGATGGGAGACAACTGAAATGAACTGGCTTGCTCCACCCATTATGGCTGTATACAAGAGTTGCCCATAGTGATATGGGTTTCAGTCTATGATTCCTTTAGATATACATGAAACTTCACAAATTTGCAGCGTTTGTATTCTTATACTTTTTGAAAACACAGAGGTAGGTGAGCATACTATAGAAAAATCTAATCAATGTAAAGTCAGTGGAAGTTCTATCCTCTTCGTTCAGCTGACTCAAAAATAGTATGAAAAAATAAAAGCCAACAACTCATCATAAATTATTACAGCTCTCAGTGAGAGCTCAGAATTTTATTCTCTGCTCATGTGATTCTGACAGTAGAAACACACCTCCCCTGAGCTGGCTGCTGAATATATCATTGGGGCTTGCAAATTAGATTACTGGCTGGCTCTTAATGGAGAAATTTCTTACAATATTTATTAAGGAAGCTGTCAGCAGAGGGAATTAAAGATGTGGTGTCCCCCCCTCCCCGTCCCCTTTTTTTTTATTATTTTTTTTTTTTATTTTCCTTCTTGCCTGTGTGCCACCAGGAGGCTCTGGGAGCTCCTGCAGGTTTTATATCAACAGAACAGAAGATCAGTATCTGCAGATCAGTTACAGGCCAGTAGAGCTAACGGATTTTGCTGGACACTACCCCAATCACTGATCTAACAAAGTGACTTCTCAGACCTATTTTAATGCCTTTCCATTTCCCAGACTCAAACGCATATGCTGCACTGAGCTGAACACCAATCCTGTCCCCACAGAACGGACAGTAGAAGGGAGATAAGTTATTTCTGAGAAGAAATATTATCCAGGAAATACATTTCAAAGGAATATTAGATTTCACTGGTATCATTTTACAGAATCTATGTTTTTCTATTATAGGTAATACATTATACTATTCAGTATTATCTGATACATAGATTACATGTGTTATTTTATCACAAGAACTCATTTTAAACTAGTCATAAAGTACTGTGGCTGTTAGAGCTCGGTGCACAAGATATCTGATATTCATGATCACTTGATGTAAGGCAATAAAATATTTTTTTGTTTCACAGTCTCATGGTAATGCTTTATAAAACAGAGATTTTTTTTTCATCTCAGATCATGTACAGGTATGCCATTTTGAAAAAGTGACCAATGATTTCCTGCTTGCCTGTTACACTGTAAGGACCTTGAGTTGCTGAACAGTTTCTGACAAGCAAAGTCCTGCTGTGTATTTTTGTGGGCACTTATTAGTTTTGAAAACATAGACAACTTTACATACCACAGTTAAGTGTTCCACTAGAAAAAAAGAAGATATTTCCCTGTAATAACAGGATGTATATATGTCCTTTTCAAAGGCAGGGGGAGAATAACATCTTCAACATGCTTGAGGGGGCTTGGGATGCAAGAACACAGGAAAAGGAAGGAAAGTGAAGGAAAAAGGAGTATTTTGTTTGTGAGTCGCTCACATAAGATATGGACCATCCCCAGCTGGCAGGCTGCAAGAACAGACTTGTGAGAGATTAATTAGGTGTCAAAGCAAGAAGACCCATTCAGAATCCCTTAGCAAGGTGAAAATGGACTAAAGTGATGGACCATGACAGCAGCAGAAGGGAAGGAAATGATTTGTACTTTTCCATCAAGAATATAAACACCCAGACCTGATGCAGTTGTCTCTCTCCTTGCCACTTCCATATCATTGCGTACTGATGAGTGAGCTCTGGCTCTCAAGATTTAATTTACCACTCTGGTAACTGACTGACTGATATTTCTAAGAACCTCCAACTGCTACATAAAATAAACTCATCCTTCCTTCCAGCTGAGACATAATTTCAGCAAGACTGTGTTGTATACAAGCTATCTTTTGGTCGGAAGGGGAACATTTTATTTAGGTGTTCCTTTTCCACAAAAAAGAAGTTGATATGAAGGGTAGAGCGTCATCCTGTTTTTCATGAGAGCTCATATTTCTATCCAATGGTTCAAGTTTATCTACATTAGAATAAATCTGTAGCAACATTCATTATCTAATGTTGTGGGTTTTTTTCATTATGAACACATAGCCTCATGGATACAAGCTTTACCACCTCTGAACGTTTTAGTTCAGAAGAGAAAGGGAATCATCTATGAATAGTAGGTTAGGCACTTGCAGTACTCTTGTTGCTTACATCCAGAGACAGAGGTCCTGAATAAATGATGTCATGGTAGAAATATTGCTCAGTAGTTCAGTATTTTGCAGATTGCATTCTGAACCTCATCTCAGCCACCAATTCTAACCCTCATCCTTTACCTGTGTTATTACTACTTCTTCAATGTAAAACATCAGTTAACACATTTTCTTGACTCATGACTAATTATCTTCAATGTTCTCTTTTTCTCTACAAAGTCAATTTCCTTTCCCTTAAATCCAGTAAGGTAATAACATCTATCAATAAATCAGCCTTTATTCTATCTCACCAGGTTTCGATTTTTCTTAACAGGTTCAAACAAACATGGACAGACTGATAGTTATAAAGAAGCACACCTATACCATGAATGTTGGCATTTAAATTAATCATACCATTATTGATATCACTAACTCAACAGTGATAGGAAATTTTTACTTGCTCAATTTTTAGAGACTTCTTTTCTGAGAATCACATTCGAGAATGGTTTATTCAAATTCAAAAGGGCTTTCCGTAAAACCATATTGAAAACAGAAGTTATGAAACTTTTCCACTTACATAGGAATTTTGCTGAATATTAAAAGGCTGCCGTCGCTACACTAACGTGTTGGAGAATGGCTCAGAGACAAGGGTCCTGAGCCCACCGAGCAGTTGTACGATCAGAGCCTGTTCTAGGGGCTGATGCTGCCTCGCTGATGATGGGCCCCACTAGGGTTTGCCTGCAGCTGCTCCCAGCTGCTGATACATGAGGAATGTCAAGGACGCTTCGGCCTTGTGTACCGTGGTGTGTCGAAAACAGGTTAAGAGGAATTAGGAATAGTGGTCTGAGAAACCCCGTGTTATGGTAACGGTGGTCTGAGAAACATTGTGTTATGGTACTGTTGTGTATCGAAAACAAGTCAAGAGGAATTAGAAATAGTAACATGAGAAACTTAGTGTTATGAGAAGCTTGTGCTGTTAGCTAACTGCAAGTAGGTGGACCGTGCGAATACGACCCTTAGAGCTTAAGCCAATCAGCTAGTGACTAGTAGGCATAATAATTATCGTTGTCTGTATAAATATATGTACCCTGGACCAATAAAGAGACACGTAGATTGATGCTCTATCACCCACATTGAACCCGTCTCGGCATGTCGTTCGTCCGCGGCTCCGCACTAACGTACAACAGCAGCCAAATAATGCACTAATTATGTATTTCATCAACTGTACAATAATTGAAAAGAAAATACAGATAGTGGGTAGATTTCTCTTACCCTGTATGCTTTCCTATCTGCACAGATGGAGTTAAAACTCAGTAAGGACAGCAAGCCGGCACGCCCTGATGGGAACATTTTACAATTGCCTGGTACATATTTATTGCTAGAGGCTATACAGTGCACAAAGCATTGGACAACCTGCAGTGCTCCACACCAGCTTAGTACTCATTTCCAAAGACACGCAGCAAACCAGAACAACAAGCGACATTACAAGTTGCCAATTCTTTTGCTATTTAAAAGTGTTTTTTAAAAAACACCCAACACCCAACATGTGCTTACTAGAAATCCTATGAAAACAGGACAAGCTCTGTGTCCCTTCTTGATATGT